TCGGCCCACCAAAGTTGGCAAGGGCGGGAGAATGGAGCCTGGAAGGAAGAACGAGAACCAAACCACGCCTGGAGACAAGAGCAGCCGAGGCTTCTCAAAATGTCTCCCAGCAACAAACGATAGATTTTGCCTCGGGAGGAGGACCAGAAGGTTCTAGCAGACGGGCTCTTCCCGCACATCCTCTCTCTGTTCAAGGTTCCTCTTCTCGCAAACAAAATAAATGCAACATCCCATCTATGCGTCCCCTCGGAAGAACCTGGCTTCAAGGAAACTTCTCAAGAGTTTAACTGCATGGCAACCAGAGGTGGGTTCCTACCGGTTCCCACCGGTTCAGTGGAACCAGTAGAGGAAACGGCGACTCGGTCGCCAAGCCAGTAGGGACAGCAGGCTCACCACACCTCCAATCCAGATCCCCAGTCGCCGCAAGATCTTTTTTTGACCTTTTAAAATGTTCTGTGCACGCGCAGACCTATTCACAAGCAACTGTGCTCATGCGCCAAAAACGTGAGCGAACCAAACCGGCAGTAATGATGGCAGCCTATGTTGACTAAGGAATACTTTGGACCAGGACCATTTAAACCCCAGAATCCCCCCACCAGCCTGAGATATTTTCAAGTACAATAAATATATCTGGACAATGCACCGCCACCCCAAATTTAAAAACAACCAGAACCTTAATTGGTTTGGGACGCATTTTGTTAAAGATAATTTAGACAAGAATGGAGAGCGCTGGTGGCATGGGGGACGCGTTTAATTCAAGAGGAAGAAAGGCTAGAACAGAAGGCTTCACCACACAGGAACCCCATTTGCCGTAGCTGAGTAATTAACATTTTCTTCCACGGCACACAGGAACAGCCCCAACGGTTAGAAGGCTCACAGGCTGATATTCTATCTATATCCCCAGCACAACACTATGCCAGGAAAGCTAAAAAACCCACAAAATGTCAGAGAACACGAAGCCATTTGATCAGGACTGGTTGCTAAAAGAATTCATGCTTGCTTAACACCCTCCAACATCCAGTCTGAGCAATGTTTCTTGTAACGCCTTTCATTTCCTGATAATTTTTGGACACTCAGCATTCAGCACTGTGACATTTCAGCAAGAACCAAAGGAAGACCCTTTCCTTGAGTCAACTGTTCTCTTTCATGTTGGATGGGAAGTTCAAGCCAGCCTTTTGGGAAGCCACCATGCTCTGAGGAAGCTAAAACGGCAGCTGGGGACTTCCCTCCCTGAAGGGTCTGCTGAGAAGACACCCCCCTCCCAGAGGCAACACCTTCTTTTGGGGTCCATCCGGTGGTGTAGCTCAGAGCAAACAAGGCAAGGCTGGGAAAGGTTCTGCTCTGAAGCCCGGTCTTCCTGCTACAGGCGAAGTCAAAATACAGACCATGAGAAGTGCAACATGAGAAGCCAGTCAATAGAGGAGCTGAACTACTTGGCACAACAATCAAGTTCCCTTTCAGGGGTTTCTAAAATAGGTCTCAGGCAGAAATCCAGCAGGTTCTGGAGAACCGGTAGCGGAAATTTTGAGTAGTTTGGAGAACCGTCAAATGCCACCTCTGGCTGGCCCCAGAGTGGGGAGGGAATGGGGATTTTGCAGTATCCTTCCCCTGCCACGCCCACCAAGCCACGCCCACCGAACCTGTAGTAAAACACCTGAATTTCACCACTGGTCTCAGGTCAGTTGGACCTATTCCCTATTGTCAGTTGAACGTTTTGCTCCTCTCTGTTGGTGCTTTGGCTGCGTTATCCTTTCAAGACGAACATCGACTCTTCACTATTTGGACTGAAACGAATGACACACAGACTGAAATCGCTGAAATAAAACCTGGGGCCGAAACAATGAACGTCTTGCACCTTTTCTCCCAAAAACAAATTCTGGATCAGCGCAGCTGAATGGTCCTGCTAAGACTCTGCTTCTGTGTAGCAACCAAGCCCAAATCCCCGATGCTTCAGGTCTTGGCCTCTGTAGGCCCGAAGTGGGCATAAAGCGGTGATAAATTGAGAGCACAGCAAAAAAGATGTGCAGGGCGATGGCTTTTACTACTAAGTGGATCAATACCATGATTGGAAATAAGTAAAAGCAAGAACCGAACACCCAAGGTGTAAAACCTGTACATAAAAAGCTCAAGTAATAAAAGCTATCCGGCAGAAGAAGAAAATAATTCTACTTTAAGCAAACAGCTCAAACTGCAACTAAGTCAGTTCAGGGAGTTTCTCCTCTCTTATCACACGGAGTAATCATTACCCCTGGCCCTGGCCGGGGAAAATGCTCTCCCTTTTACCATTTGCAGTTGCAATGTCTCCAAAGGCTTCGGGGGCTCTGGGGCTGCGCACCAAAGGTGACACGGGGGCACTTCTGGGGCCGCCTGCCCAGATGAAGAAACCAGGGCTCTTTGGAAACGGTTGCTTTGGGAACCGAATGGGGGTCAAGGCCACAGTGACTCGGACCTCTTCTACCCCCGCCTTCTCACCCCATCCCCCTAAACACCCCCCCCAAAAAGAAGAGGGGGGCCAGGCCCTCCCCCCAAGCCCACCCAGAGGGACCCCCGGCCTGCTCAGATGCGTTTCCTGGACGGCCTGCCTGGCAAAGACAACCGTCCACAAGTGGCACCCCAAAGAGGGATGGGGGCACTAGTTTGTGCCACCCCTCCCCAACACCCCCCTTGCCCGAAAGACACCCCCAGGGGGGGAGGTCTTTCAGTTGGCAGAGCAGCGGCGGGGGGGGGGGCAAAGGGGGGAGGGAACCGCCTGCCAAGGGGGGCAGCCCCCCCCCACCGGGCTCCCTCCGGCCCAGACCGGCCACCAGAGCAGGA